GACGGTACCGGAGGAAGACCGGTTACTACCACGACGACCACCGTGACTGATAACAAGAAGATACCTGCAGGTGTTAGAGGAAGCCCTAATAATTACTTCAGATCAGAAGGCCAAAACTGTGGAAACTTTCTCACTGTAAGGAGAGAGATTTAGTATTATTATTCATTTTGAGATCTTTTTATGATTTGAGAAACTGAGAAAACCCAAAATGTGTTTTGGCTTGGTAATGAAAACAGGAGAGGCCATCTACTAAGGTTCATGCTGCTCCAGGTGGAGGATCTTCTCTTGATTACCTCTTTGGAGGACAAAATGCTGCTACTGAATCTGGAAAGAAATGAAGTTACTTTTGGCTTTTGAGTGTGTAGAGAAGAAGACTTGTAAAAATTATCAAGTGTGGCTTAATCCCTTCCATGAAAACCTTGTGTGTGAGCATCCATTGTTATCTGAGTTTGGATTTTGATCTCTTCTTTTGTGTTCTTGGAAGAATTTTCAGACATTGTTTTCCAAATAAACAACCGAATCAAGTTCTTTTCAACCTCAATTAAACGGAACAAACAATGCACAAAAATTTAGCTCTAAAGCTTATAGTAAGGAATCATCCATGTTCATAGCGCGAAGCTTCTCTCAAAGCCATAGAGAAGCTTAGCGAGAGCTAAGGATCAATCGTAGAAGAAAGTATTCGAATCAAGCCATGTACAAATCTCAATCTACTTAAACCATAGAAATTTCAGACATTGTTTTCCAAAGTGTTTCAAGAATATAACAAACAAATCAAGACCTGGAGAGATCAAATTCAAGTGAAACACTCAGAGGTTGTTTAGCTCTATAGTTTAGTAAGGAAGCTGAAGTATTGAAATGAAACTACTTGATCAAATGTTTTACCGAACAAGAAATTTACTGAAAAAGCTAAGGATCAATTGTAGAAGAAATGATTCGAACTAAGCCATGTTCACAATCTCAATCCTACTCAACATGATTCATCAAAAACTAGAACCAGAGTCAAATCAATAACAAATCGTAAGAGAAAAGGATTCAACTTTCATAACCTCATCATATTCATGCATTACTCAAGTCTTTAAGATTTAACATCGCAAAACCACCAAAAAACCAAAACTTTAGATGTCTAAAACCACAATTCCGATAATAAAAGCAATTAAGAAATTCGGGACGAATCTGAGTCATGGGCAAGCGAACTCGGATGATCTAGAACCCTAGCTTGGTACGGCGCCAATGCCTACGCTTAGCATTGTACCTATGTGGAAGAAACAATACAACTCAAAATCAAAAGACTACACCTTTTGTTTCAAGGATCCAAGGAAAAAACAAAAACCTTAGAAAAAATCGAACCTGATCTTGTTATCGGTACGGAGACGGATCCAATTAGGGATTGGCCTGTTCTGTCTCATCTTCTTCCCAAGCTTCTTCTTGATTATGAACGTCTTATGCGACGGCTGTAATCAGAGATCGTGAAATCAATCAGTCGAAGAAAACGTAAAAGGAGAGAGAGAGAAAAAGTACCATCGTGACTGTGGCAACGGTGGCGATACGGCGGAACACGGCGGCGCTAAAACCCTAATGACGATTGTTTAACTGAAGAAAAGAGTTGATTGATTTTTATAGGGGGTAGTGGAACTAAAGCTCAATCCTGACCGTTGGATTTTATTATTGTTGGTAGCCGTCCGATGATCAAACCGTTAGTTTTTTATGAACCGAATCTGATTTCGGTTCACTTAAACCAGGAAAGATAAAAAATTGTAGATTTAGGGTTTTCGTTTTCTTTTCTCTCTCTGTTTGCTCTGTTACTGAAAGAAGAAGATAATTTTGGGTTTTTTTGTTCTTGAGCGCCGCCGAGGAAGAGAAGCGGAGCTAAAGCTATGACGACGATTGTTCCAACTTCCGAAGAAGATCCGTTTCTCGCTGTTGTTCGATTCACTTCTCAGCTCGCTTGGGCTGATGCTGGTCCCGAGGTACCTTCATACCTTGATTGCGAATTTATTGGGGGAAGAATTGGATTGTCTAATCTTTCTGGCGATTGTGTAATTTGATTTGATACATGTCATTTCGTTCGAATATCTGATTGATGAGTGATAGACTCACTTTNATTCACC